GAAGTATGACCACTGTCCAAGATAACTGCCACGGTAACTATAATAAGCTTTAAATGAGTCGATTGACGAATGAATTATTATGTTTTTTTTTGTCTGTTATATATTTTTTATTGTTATAGTAGAAAGTGACATTTTGGTCCAATGAAGTCATTTTTTTTATTTTAAAAAAATGACAGTACGAAATTAAACAGGGTGCAAAAGCAGCACTTGCAGTTTCTTACCGGTTCCCCTTCTTCTTTTCTCGGTACAAGGTTTCCCGTAAAAGATTTACGAACTATAAGCACAGAGTTTCGACTTTCTTATATGCTTGTAACTAGTAAGCCAACTTGTCTATAAATTTATTCAATAAATTGTATTGACTGAATAAATTTCGCTTACTCGTCATAGATACCGTGCGTACTGTGTCACAATTTTAGTTCAGAGCATCTTGTTTAGTAGTAAACATAGAAAACTTGAAACACCTACATAATCTTTGTATTATATTATTTGTAAAAGAACATGAAAATACTGTAAACCTTGATGAATAAACAATAGAAAACAAAGTTGGTAGATGAAAACTTTTTCATATAATTATATAATTTATTAAAAAAGTAACAATTGGCATTTTATTTAAAAATTTGGTTAGCAAAAAGAAAACAGCCGATAAATCAATGGGCAAGCATACAAATATTTTCTCAGCACTAAAACTGTCTGCAATTCATGTTCTGTGAACAATCATGATAACGGTCAGCAATTTAAATACAAAAAGGTAGCGTATTTTATGATGCACCAGCAAAATAAACAGCCACGCCGCAAAATAATTATTTGGGTATTAAGATATACTATTGAACAGCAAAGAAAACCTTTAAATTTTTATTAAAATTATTTAACTCATTCTATTGTAATTTTACTGGGAGTATATTATGATCAGAATTTTATATTTTAATATTATTATATATTGCATTCTGATTTTTTTCAATTAAAATAGTTGTCATATGACCGCAAGACTAAAAATAAGGTACATTTATATAATAACAAAATGACTATATAAAAAACTAAATAAATAAATCAGTAAAATCAAATGAAAATTAACTAAGTGTAATAGACAAAAAAATTGTAAAATTAAGTTAAAAGCAATTGTCAAAAATTCTTACCAGCGTATTTGATTGGCAATGCATCATCTCGTAATTTTATTATATTTAAAATTCGATTCAAACAACTTTCCCTAAAATGAAGCGAGCAGATAAAAGTAACTTTTTCATTATATTTAATATTTTCTGCTCCAATGTAACTCGGCCATATTCCTCTTTTTATTTCATCTTTTGGTAATTTAAAATAATATTTTTAAATAATAAAATTATCGATATAAACCAAATGTTAAAGTAACAACACTAGCCATGTAAACAACATTATTTACGGACCGAAATATTACAGAAATATAAACGAAAAGAGCAATATAACATAAATAGAACACGCCAAAATACGATATGTATCGATTTATACACGCAATCATTTTCAGGATAACTTACTTACGTTTTAAATACTGTTTTTCTAAGAAAGTGTTTAACTTACCGGTGAAACGTAATATTGCTCGGTTTGCGGGATATCGATGACGCACAACCAATTACACTGCACCTAGGCATTGTTTTGCATAAATAATTTACAAGTTTCTGCCATGAAAGTAATATAAATTAAAGTTATAAATGAAAATAACCACAAAACTTATAACACTGACAGCTGAACTACTTCCGAGAATACGCACTGCAACTTTGCAAATGGCGGACAGGTGGTACGATAGCTATATGTCATGACGTCACGTAAAAAATTTTGAACTGTCACACTAGTGCGATCTTTGTTTACTAAAGAAACTTCTTATTAGTTAAAAAAAAGACAACATGATGTCTTCGATGTCAACTTCAGATTGCATGATATTTATATAATCATAGAAAATATTTCCACTCTACCTTATCTCTATGTCTATGTCTGTATAAACATAGACATTGACTTTGAAAAAATTCCCAGAATGCTGAAAATTTGCATAGAGGTTAGGGACACCATTGTTATGAAATTGTGAAAAGTCCCCATCGATCACATGTCTGTAATAAAATTTATTCAAGGTTGCAAAATATAAAAAGATTGCAAAAATGGGTTTTTTAATTTTTCAGCAAAACGTTAGTTTTATGATAAAATATGTTAGAATAAAATTGTAGATCATACAATGATCTACAAAAATTGTCCTTACACATTTTTTCATAACACTAACAGTTTTTGAGAAAAAAAGAATTACAAAATTTTCTTACGCTGTATTGTTTATAATACGAGGGTCAAACTGAAAGTTCTTAGAAAATCAAAAACTGATTACATTAGCCAGTTATTAGTTTTATTATATCTTTTCAAAATATTGTCCATTCACGTCAATACACCGCTGCATGCGATGGAACCACTGGGAAAAGCACTTTGCCCACTCGTCCTTAGGGGTCTCTTCAATGGCATCGCGATACGCAGCCACCGCTTCTTCAGCATTCATAAACCGCTTTCCTTTAAGTTTTTCTTTAATTTTTGGAAATAAATAAAAATCACAAGGCGCGAGGTCGGGGCTATACGGCGGGTGACCCAGTAATTCAACGTTTGATGTCGCCAAATAGTCGATCGTTCGCTTGGCGGTGTGCGACGAGGCGTTGTCGTGGTGTAGGAGGATCCTACTGCGAGGTCGTTTCTCTCGAACTTTTTCCAAGACAAGTGGCAAACAATTGGTAGTGTACCATTCTGCAGAAACTGTTTTTTGATCCTCTAACACAATTGTTGCAAAATGACCTATCCTTCCAAAGAACGAGGCCACCATTTTTTTTCCCGCACTTCGATCTCTCTTCACTTTAGTTGGCAACTCCTCGAAAGGAAACACCCACTGAGCAGATTGTCTTTTGGTTTTAGGATCATAACAGTAAATCCAGCTTTCGTCACCTGTTAGTATGTCGAACACAGCATTTGAGTCACCTCCGTTAAATCTTTCAATCATTTTACGACACCAATCCACACGATGGAGTTTTTGAGCCTCAGTCAAATTATGAGGTATCCACCGGGCGCAAAGCTTCCTGAGCGCTAAATGTTCGTGGAGGATTTTGTGCACTTGACTCATACCGATGCCTAAGCTTGTCCGAATCTGTTGATAGGTCACTCTTTTGTCAGTCTCTATCATACGCCGCACAACACAGATGTTATCTTCAGTCGTCGCCGTAGAAGGCCGTCCCTCACGTAAATCATCAGTGAGATTAGTGCGACCACGTTTAAACTCATTAAACCAGTTGTAAACAGTCGCACGAGATGGGGCTTCATCGTGAAAGGCCAATCGTAGTCTATCATAACTTTCTTGTTGACTTAAATGACATCGAAAGTCATAAAAAATCATTGCACGAAAATTTTCTCGTGTTAAATTCATGATGACGTGACACAGACAATTTTCAATTTGCCGCCAAATCGTAAAACAAATGACAAATGAATGAAATATATACTCAGTAATATTGGCAAAGAGTTATATTTTCAAATTTTAGAATTATTTTTTTATTATATTGTTTATAAGTGGCCAGTTCTAAGAACTTTCAGTTTGACCCTCGTATGTACACGTTTCCACACCACCTATGAGGTGTGTTTATATACACCTAGCGTGTTTTATTTAATGTGGATTCCACGGTCTATTACAGTAAAAATATAATGAATGTTTGGTTATTCTTCTTCATTTCAGTCGTTGTACTATTATCAGAGTGCTCATTGACAAGCTCGAGTGACAAGTTCCGTTATACTTGGTTATAAACATATTTTATTCATCATCATCATTAATAAGTTTTTCTTCTTCCCCTCCATCTTCTTCTCTCCATTTTCTTCTTCTTCCTCATCTTCTTGAGTTGACGTAAATTGTACTAATAGCGATACATCAGTTGTTTCGTCGTTGATGTGAAAATCTTCTTCTGTTGGAGATTCAACATTGGAACACGATTGGCCTTGACAAATGGTGCACACTAAATTGGGAATTATAAAAACATTAATATATGTTTTATTAGAAATAATATTACGTTTTTTTTTAATACTTAAAAATGTGAAGGCCTATAAATATTTTTTTTATGGTGTGATTGAACAGAGTGGACCAGGTCTCCCCCCCCCCCCCCATCCCGCACTCCGTGAAACTGAATTTTAAACTATCATATGTATTTTTGCAGTGTATGATATCTTTCTTTTATTTCATTTTGAAGCTCATTCATCCCATGGTAGCCTATAATTTGTATAAAAATATTTATGAAGCTCGTTGTTTTTTTAACTGTGAGTACAGTGACAGTGGCCTCTCCCTTGATCCGGGCTTGCATGACCTTGTTTAGTTGTTATAAAGAATGACTAGCATTCGTTAGTGTATGAGTATTAGCAGCATAATAGCAGTGACAAGTACTGTAAGGGACAATCATCATGAAATATTATGGAGTCATCAATCTATCTCAGCCTAGGCTGCTAGGCTGGGCAAGATTGACACCTTTACGATTAAAGAATTAAAACCAAAACAAAATGTCAACGTCAAACTGATGTCATTTTCTGCAGTGCTTTTTTCACTCAACTTTTCGAATGGAACTGAAAACTTAATAATTAAAGTTCTTAGGTATTTTATTCCGAAAAAAGTATTTGTTATTAATTCGTCTAATACAACAAATACTTTTCGGTGGATTTACTTTCGGCATAACCAAAACAGAGGCATTTCTTTTTGTAACTTTCAGTGCATATCATCAGGTATCAAGTTACTTGTGAAGTAATTTTTGCTCTTGTTATTATGTCATAGCCGCTAATAGAATTGTGTGAGTTGAATTAAAGATTTATTTACAGATATTTGTCATAATATATTCTTTATTTTAAAATTTTTGTGACCTTGCAAAACTGATTCCATTTCTCCCATAATAAAGTGTGTAAACTATTGAGTGTGTAGTCCTAAACGCCTACTCAATTCTTCTCCTCGTATGTTATCATAATTTTTTTTTCTTCTCAGCATGATGACGATGAACTCAAAACTCATATTGCCTTTTGCTCTTGGAGTCACCCTCGTGTCTGTCACAGCTTTTGTTGTCTACTATGTATTCAAAAAAGACGAAGAGGAAAATGAGCAGAGGGTGGATAAATCTGTTAAAACTGCAAAAGTAAATGTTATTGAGATTAACATCCCAAAGAGTATAGTTCCAGCATTAATAGGTAATCTTTTTGAATTTTAAAGTAATTAATTTTACTCATTTCATGATAGTTGAAGATCACACCAATATTATTACTATATTAAATAACATGCATTAATAAAACATCAAGTTTATCATTTGCATTATTTCTGTTACACATTGTATAGTTTCAATGTGGTATATTTTTACCTAATCAGAGAGCCTCTCCTGAAAAGTCAATCTTCAGCCCTGTAGCTATACATAGCAGCTATAGCTTAATTACTTAAATTTAAATTATACATGAAATAGTAACATTTAACTGTAAGTAAATAATTATTATACTTATTTAGTAATTTGTGTCACAAGTGTGATGGTATGATATCATTGCTTTAACTATGACTCACCACTTTGCAAAGAGGCATTATATTTTTTGTGTAACATAATTTCAAATGCCAAGTAGGAAACTTGTAATTCTATATAACATTTACATGTTCATATCTTACTAACCTTGAAAGTAGGATTTTTGAAAGAACTCCATGTGATTTGAATTTTGATAGATTTATTAAAGTTTACCTTATAAAAATATTTCTATGACAGAAACTATTTATTTATCTATGGGATTAAAATTTAGAAAATCTTTTTGTTGAAACTTTCAGCATAGTTTTGTATGTGTATTTATGTCTTCCCATATTTTAGGTCGTAGTGGAGCCAACATAAAAGAGATAGAGCGTAAGACTGGAGCTTTGATACACTTCAAAAAGTTCAGTGATCAGGATTATGATGTTTGCATTGTTCGTGGTCGAAGTGAAGCCAGCCAGTTGGCAGAGACCCTCATCCATGACTTCATGAATCAGCAACCTGTCATAATTACAGACATCATGGAAGTTCCTGGATGGGCTTGCGGAAGGATTATTGGTTGGTCATTCATATTAAACTTTTCATATGACCTCTTATTCAAATTAGCTATTTCACTATGTGATATCTAAGCATTGTTAGTGTGTAAGCATTTTCAGGGCAACAGAAGGATGTCTGATGAAAAGGATTGTCAGACTAATTAACTATTACAATTTTTTTTGTATTATGTATTTAATTTTATTTTAACTACAATATTTAGTAACTTGCTTGCTAGATATTGCATGATTTTATTAAATACTTATTGTGGTTATTTCTCATTATTATTGATACTACTCATTTTATATTATTACCCTTTATTGGGAATATAAACATGGACATTACCCTCCAATCCGTATTGGGCCAGTGTGGAGGGTCATGGTCCATGCTCCTTAATCATCCATAAGGAAGGCCTGAGGCCCCTGCAGTGGGGACATAAAAGGGATGTTTGGAAATTTTCTGGACTTATAAAGAAAAAAAAATTACATAAGCTTTTCTCCATCGGCTTTGCCCGCATTGTCTTGTATAATACATAAAAAACACTCTTTTTGGATCACCTTTTCTATAAAAAAATCTGCATCAAAATCCGTTGCCTAGTTAAAGATCTAAACATATATAGGGACAGACAGACGAAAGCGACTTTGTTTAATACTATGTATTAAAACAGCATTGAATAAGTAAATATTAATATTAAATATATTTTTACTTATTCACTTATACTTTATTATTATTAAAGATTATTTTCCCGTGAGAACCCTAGTCATCGGCATCCTTGCATCGCCCCAAAAATGCCCATGTGATAACAATGTATAGTGATATTATTCTAGCGTTCCTTTATATTTTTATCAACAAAAATAGTTACTATATATTAAAATCTCAGGTAGTTAAATTAGTAGAGCAATCACCTGGTTAGTGTAAGGTATGGGTTCGAATCCTGATTTTTTATTGTTTATTCATTCATAGGCACTGGTGGTGAGACAATCAATGATATTAGTCACCGCAGTGGCGCACGCGTCAAGATAGAAGGTCAAGCAGGGGTGGACCGCGCGGCCCAGCGACAAGTCACGTTCCGAGGCACTAAGGAACAGATAGCCATTGCCAAAGGACTTATCGAAAATTGCGTAAGTATATACATATGGAATTTATGTCGTTTGTGTCTGACCCGGGCATGGGGTGGCCAAATTTTGGGGCAATAAAAGTCATTAGTGTGCCAAAAGTTGAATAATGAAATACCGGGAACTGGTAATTGTATATTTACCTGTTTACCCAAGACAAACTTAAATTAATACAGGTATACTGAACTCGGTCAAAGGGAATAAAACATTTGTTATTACAATTCAAAGTGTAGTAGTTGCTATCTATCCAAAGAGTAGGTTTACTTCTATCGTTACTTTGAATACTACTAGATTTATAATTTTAATAATAAACTTTAAATATTGTTTCCAACGTCAACTATATATTTTTTAACAATAGAGTTGTTACCCTTGATTTGTTTCTCAGGTAGCCCAAGAGAAATGTCGAAGAGAGATCGAACAGTCAAAACGTAGCCCTAGACATACGCAACCATCATCTGTGGCCTCCGAATCAGCTGACCCCGAGGAAGCCCTAGGTGACCCAGCCCACAAGCATGTCAAGTATAAGCGGCCTGGTAAGATTGGCTAACAGCATGTGCACAATCAAATCATAATATATCTATCTATCAAATGCTCATACAAAGAAAATTTCAATAGAATTTTACCTGTTAAAGTATTAATTTGTTAGAAAAAAATGTCTCTTACGCTGTATTTAAGAGTTGATTTTTTCTATTATCATCCTAAAAAAATCTCAAAGTTTTGTAGTTCCTTTTCAAAACACATAAAAATATCTCGTTTTCTAGTTTTATCATTGTACATAGGTATTTAATTTGGTTAACAAGAAAAATAGATGTGAGAATCTTATTATCTCTTATATAATCTGAATTTTGAAATACATACTGTATTAGCTTATACTATGTTAGTTAAACATAATTTTCTTTGAAGTCATAATGTGACTTGCATCATATTAATAAATAAATGTTCATAAAGCTCTAAAATATTTTTTTCAAAGCTTTTTGAAATTTATTTAAACAGTATAACATTTTAGAAACTTATAGTAGCAATAATTTAATGTTAACACTTTTGACAAACATTTTATATAGATCAAGGCGGGCGTAATATAACTTCAAGGTAAATCTTAATTTTATAAACAAACATTGCCATGCATATAGTAAGTACTGCAGGTTTTTGTAGATACCCTTGTATGATTTCTGATAGGTATTTGAATTATATATTTATTATATGCTTGCAGTTGTAAGTTTGAATAAATACATTTACAAAGAACGAAGAAATTTCAATGATTTACTGATATGTTACTCAAAATTAGGTTTAAAAAGTGACATCATATGTAAATAATCAATTTCCACTATTCTGTCAAAATGTCAATGAAAAAATTTGAAATGTTTATGCAGAATTTCATTTGAATTACGTGTGCTTCTAAAATAGTTTTGGTAAATATTTCAGGGGAATCTTTCTGTCGTGAAATCACCGTTTTATATAGTTTCTATTTCTGTTGTTATGTCAGTAAATCATTGAGAAAGAGATTGCATATTGAGTATATTTTTACTTTTATCATTATAGTACAGAACTATGACAGTTATCATCCTTGTTATGTATGTATAGTTTGTATGTTTGAAACTATCCCCACCTTCCAATAGCCCATTGTGTTGTTAATATTTGTTGTTTTCTGTTTTGTTTTGTTTGTTTTTTTTTTCGTTGTATGTGGTAACTGATAATGTACCGTAGAAAGGAAAGGGTGGTTTATTTAGTTTGATGGTGAAGGTATGTGTGAAGGTAATAATGAAAGAATAAACATTTTGGTGAGGTGAGTTTTTTGAGTGTGTTTAACGTGTATACCAATACTGATCATAGGGTTGATTAAATATAAAGCTTTGAATTATGTCAGCTATATCTATATCGTTATAAAGTGAACAACTTTCCAAAAAGACCATATCTAGGGTTGCCAGGCGTCCGGATAAAGCTGGACATAGGCTTTTTGATTGCGAGTCTGGTCAAAATAAACAATGCCGTGCCTGTCCTTAGGCTTTTTACATTTCAGCCGAGAGACGCCCACTGCTGGGCATAGGCCTCCCCCAAAGATCTCCAATGTGATCGGTCCTGCGATTTTACATTGGAACTATATTAATTTCTAAAGTCGCTTAAAATAAGATTTATTAAAATTTATGGTAATTGAACAGTAAACTTCGAAATGAAATGAAAATATCTTTATTCAAGTAGGCTATTACAAGCACTTCTGAATCGTCCAAAAAATGATTTTTCCCCTACCACTTGTTCAGGACGTCTTTTAGCTGACAAGAAGAACAAGCGAAAGAAACTTACCAGCTTTTTATCATAAGTAATGACATTTACATAAATCATATCATTACCAAAATAATATGTATTATCATAATAATAAATACAACTTTCAAAATCTGTAGGACATAGGTTGAACATATAATTAGTCTTTATAGAACAAAGCGAAGGCTATTAATTCCATGCATTGCGATCCTTAAAATAATCATCAACTTTATCTTCGTTTTAAAACTCAAAATCCTCCTTGATGCGGGGTGGCCAGCCTTTTTACCCAAACTGGCTGGCCTGTCGGACTATTAGATTTGGCGATCTGGCAACCCTAACCTTAACTCTCATAACCTCATGACACTTCAATCTTTTTTTGGTGATGTTAGAATTTATTTAATAATAAGAGCTTGCCGAAAGCACGCTCTTAGCTGTCATCTTAACTGATTACGATGATGCGATTTCAACATTTCGTTATGCGACGAGATTAAACACACAAATCTCAATAAATAGTCATCGCACGAGTGCAAGATGTGTTTACTTATTGATCTTTTCCGAGTATTCTAATTGAACACCAAAATATTATTTGCAAAATTCATTATGTCATAATGCATTTTTTGAGCGTGCGATTGACATCTTCTTTTTTCTACAAGCTCGTTGCTTTAATGTCAGGAAGAAGTCGCGCGATAGGCGGTCTGAGACATCTCATCGCACGACGGAATCGCATCGATTGACGCGTCGATAAATTGTCGCTCGATTGGCCAGCTGTGTCTAGTCAGTTATATAATTTGGCATATAATGTGTTGCGTGTGACAGAGAATAGCGGCGCGTCCATAGAGGTGTACGTATCGGCGGTGTCGTCGCCGTCTCGCTTCTGGGTACAGTTCGTGGGGCCGCAGGTGTCGCAGCTGGACGAGCTGGTCGCGCACATGACGCAGTATTACAGCGACAAGGATACGCGCGCGTCACACCAGGTCAGTTGTTAGAACGTAATGTAACCCATACAGTTTATGTTTAGTTTCTCTCTCCCTTAAGCCTGACTCTACCCTTATAGATACTTTTGATATCATTATCCCAACGCATTTGAGGTATTTTCGGAGGACGCTTTCGACCCCCATGGGAGCCACTAAAGTAGCCGCTTGCTCCATGAAGTGGTTTTGCAAGCATTATGACCTGATATGGCCTGGACGACATCAGTGATCTAGGTCTATTGTATTAACCATTAATTTGTATTATGGTCCTTTAATGTGACTCCAACCAGTTTTCTCTCCACCGCTTGCTGAGTTACGCTCGATTTATGTAAAATATACCCAGGTTTCACCACCATAAGTGAGAACTGGTAGAACAGTTTGGTCATATACGCGAGCTATTTATTATAGTGTTTGATAAATGTTATATTTATTTACTGTAAACGTTATCCGCCAGTGGGTGTCGTCTCGTTGTTCTCTGTAATGTCATTCGTTATTTGGCAATTATTAGTAAACCGTATCTCAAATGCTTTGGTAATGAACTGACGTCACCAGCCGAAATTATATGGAAACGCGTAAATCAATAGTTTTATAAAATTGAAATATAGGTTTTGCTGTTTCATTGTGGCCTCAAGATTGATTTGAAACCGTTTTGACAGTTGAAGCAAGTGTGCGTGGGTCAAGTGGTGGCGGCGGTTTTCAGACATGACGGCCGCTGGTACCGCGCCAGAGTACACGATATACTGCCCAACGAGTATGACGCCACCAAACAGGTAACAAACACTACTTATAATACGCATGTAGACAGTAAACGAAAAAAAATTTTTTTTCTGGTGGTGTTTAATATACTACTATCGATGAGCACATTTATATGATTATTATATTTAAAATGTTGCTAAAATTAATTATGAAAAAAAATATCATTCAATCGTTGTCACGTGACCGCAAACAGCGCGTATCAGAACTCAGAGAATTCAACCTTATGCATATGTAGAACGATATTAGTTTCATTTGGCAGTGACGTCATAGCGACGCCATGCCAGAACTAACGTTTTCGCGAGAGATTATGAAAATTAAATTTATTTTTAACTTATTATATTAGTGGTCCTTTTTTTTTAGATATATGTCAGATATATCTATAAAATAAAAATATTTAAAAAAAGTGTTCTACGTCCTTATTAAACATAGTGTATAAATAAATCGTGGAATCTTTACATCACTAGTTGGAACCGAAGAAGGCAAATGAAATGATTTTTTTTTTACACCTTTCATATTAACGACAGGTGACAGAATAGGCATGACGACTATTTTTTGTTTATTTGCTCGTCAGGTAGATTGCTGAAAGATATCAACCACGTATTTTTAAATTTTTTGAGTAATAATTACATTACGGCGATACATTGAGTAAAAATGTCGCGTGACGTCACGCTTTGGTACATTTTCTCCAAAACTGTGACGTAACGAGCCCCCACTCCTCAATTTTAATGCCTGTTATCTAAGCTATTTCTTGTTAAATTGAAGTAAAAAAAAATACGTATCTCATATTTTTCTATTATACCGACGATTTAAAAAAACCTGCTTTTAAATATTACTGCCGTAACCGATATCCAGATCCCCAGGTTAGATGGCAATCAACTGGTTATTTATTTATTTCAAAATTAAATGGTCATTGTTTTATAAATGATACAGATGATTGGAACATTTTCTTTTGATACATCATATAGGTGGCAGATGTATTCTACGTGGATTACGGCGACAGCGAGTACGTGGCTGTGGAGGAGTTGTGTGAGCTGCGTGCAGATCTGTTACGATTACGATTCCAGGTCATTATAGAACTATTTTTTGTATTTTTTCCTTCACCCTAGTAGGAGAAACGGTAAATATTTTCTTAAATAAATAACTTTATGAATAAAAACTATGCATGGATTAAGTGGAAAAAAACCAATAACAAAAACTATTATGAATTATTTTCTATGTACAAAGCCCGCTTAAACATTTGAGTATTCGAGCTTTAAAACGAAGGACAAAAGGACCTATAAAACATATACGAGTTTGTTGAGAATGGCATACATGACAACATAAAGTATTTTTGGACTTATCTTAATAATAATAAACGACTACGGACATTCTAAGATAAATCAGACAGAGTCTGTAACCTATTTTCATCAGTCTTCGCATCTGTATTTGAACCTTCAAATTAAGATGATGATTATGGCATAAACCATCTGTTTGGCTTCTGATATTATTCTTAGCAAAATTATCTTCACTACCAAAGAAGTACTTAAGGGCTTACGTAATTTAGACACATATAAATTTCTGGTGTGGACAATATAATATTTATAAATGACATAAATAGATGCTTCCAATTTTCTTTTGTATGCAGATAACTTAAAAATATACCACGTTATTGAAAATTTGAATGATAATTTAAGTCTTCAAGCCGATCTTGGCGCTTCTCAGATTATTGTTATAAAAATAAGCTAAACTTAAGTATCAATAAGTGAAAAGCCTCATTTTAAACTAAACGTTATCGTCTTCGTTTGCGAGTGGTTGTTTGCTTAAATCTTTAGATAAAAAGAAATTTCCAAATAATATTAAATTTGTGCTTGTACTGATATTAATATCACAATTAGAGAAAGTCATTATAAGTTTAATTTATAAACCAGTACTCTTGTTTATTGGAATGTGACGTCACAGCTCAAAAACCGACGACGTTTCAAATGAATAAATAAAAATATGATTTTCCTTCATTTAATAACACTTTTTACAAAATAAATCAATAAGTGGTTTAATAAAATGGAAGTTTTAAAATTCTTTTCCTAAAACTGTTGATTAGCTAATTCAATCAGTCCAGTAGCCTCGGAGGAAATTTTCTGTGACAGACGGACATGCAAACACAAGAGTTACGTTCCGTTTTTTCTTTTTTGATATGGAACCCTAAATAGTATTTTTTGTTTAATAAAATAGGCGATGGAATGTTTCCTTGCCGGCGTAAAGCCTGCGGGTAAGGAGGAAGATGTAGTGGCGGTTACAGCTGCGGGACAGCGCTGGGACCGCTGGGACCCGCACGCAATAGAACGCTTCGAAGAACTCACTCAGGTACACTTTTTTTCCTTTAGTTATATTTTTTTACATTGAATTTAAAATTTCTCTCTATTGGTGTATCATGAAAACAATGAATGCATTGCCAAACTGGATGTTTACATTAGAAACTGCTAGGGCAATCAACGCAACTTGTTTCGTAATTATAATTCGGCTTTATGAATACATTTTTCAGTGTATAAATTAAGTAAAACCCTTATTTATGATGTTGATGTGCCTGCAGGTGACAGAATTTTTAAAATCGGTCCAATAGTTTCGGAGAAATTTTTCCTCTCTATTGAATTTGAATAGAATAGTACTGAGTTTATGATTACGAAATTCAGCACAATTCAAACCTGGCGTAGTGCCTCAAACACGAATCATTATAACGTTCTCCTACAGGTGGCTAGATGGAAGCCATTAGTGTCAAGAACGTGCACATACAAGAAGACTTCCACCGTCGAAGGCGAGAAAGAGAAGGAGATACCGGGCATTAAATTGTATGACGTCACTGACGGTAAGTAACACCTAAAATAAAATATGATTTCGTTTTCTGGGTTGACTACTTGATACATATATGTGAATTTATTTGTCAATCTTATAATTTACCTACTCAATAAGTACTTTTTAAGTATAATAAGTATGACTACAAATATGTATTTGTCTAGAAATGTGTAATATGTATTTGAGGGGCATGACGTCATACGCTGTTTGCGGTCACGTGATAACGAGTATAATATATTTGTTTTTAAAAAATAATTTAAAGCAATGTATAATAAGCATAAAAGTGTGATTATTAGTAATAATACATGTAATTTTTTTTCGGTTAATATCTACACCCTATTTGTTGTATGTTACGGTACTTTAATAATATTAAGTGGTAATGTGTGATAACGTTATTGTGTCAGAGGGTGAGTTGGACATAGGCGGGGTGTTGATTGCGGAGGGGTGGGCGGTGCGGGGGGAGTGCGCCCGCCCGCCCCCCGCGCCCGCGGCCACGCCCTACGGCGATCTCGGCAACTCCAGGCAAGTGCATATCTATATATGTATACACCCATTTTCTGAATTGAGAATTTAAGGTTTAGTACGTCTCAAACAGTACTTAAAGGTCACTTAAACGTGAACAGGTTTTCGTTTCTGATTTTAATTTTTTTTTATTGATCAGCCTACAGCAGTTGGTAAGTGCAGTGATAAAACAAGGACTTTTTGCCATGTGAAACGTAAATAACTTAAATTATTGAGGATAATCAGTTGAGTGAGATTTTATACTTTTTTCAACTTAAAACCGGCCGTTAATATCGTTGATATCGACGAGAATAATAATAAAAAAAAAAATGTTCATTAACAATCTTTATTAATATAAATATAATAAACAAATTAAGTAGGTATACTTCTAGACAAAGATCGGATGTCAACCTCCTTGATCGTAACGTAACTAATAATGTGTTTATAAACGCATTGTTCTTGTCCGATGTAACTTGTTTAAAAAAAAAATACAGAGAAAACGTATCTATGACTTAAGGCCACGATGGGCAACAGCCGGCCCGCGAGACATTTTGTAAACGCTAATTTATAATAACATTGTCATATTATTTAATGTCTGATATTTATCGCAAAAAATTATGAGTACTACAACACTACTTTTTAAATGTACTACTTTTAAATGCACCCCGCAAACGTATTAGCACACTAAAGGTTGGCCCACAACATGTCCAAGGTTGCCCATATCTGAAAGGTGACGTAACATAATTTAAAATTGTGCCTTATTTATACGTTTACTGTTTGTTTTGTATTTTTAGTATATTAACATTTTGTTATGTATTTCAAGTAACATACATATCCACATTTAATACTTACACTTACAAAATCATTATATAGTATATTGTCGAACCCTGATTATAATGTTTGTACTAATGTTAGGGGCCGTACATTAATCACGTGAGGCTCGAAAGGGAGAAGGGGTTCGCCAAAAATCACGAAATATCACAAGGGCTGAGGGAGGTGTAGCAATATATCACGTGTATTTATTTTTTCCTCAAATGCGTGATTACTAAACCGAAACGCGGCGTCTAAAATTAAGATTTTTTGTAGGTACTAAAAATAGGCGTGATTTGGGTGGAGGGGGAGGGGTTTAATTTACACGTCAACAAGGGGAGAAGGGAGATCAAAACTGCTGAAAAAAACATCACGTGATTAATGGAAGGCCCCTTATATATGGGGAAATGTATTATCATCATTTTTTGAACACTTGTAGGTATGAGCTTACGCATAATGTGAATTTTATTGAGTGTGTCATAATCACACACAAGTCACTGAAGTAAACAAGGCGCAGATCCAGAATTTTGCTTAGGAAGGCAATATTTTATTGCATTCGAATAATTTTAAAAAAGGTGTCCTAAAGTTTCGATAACAAACTGGAAGTGATTTTGCTATGATGATTTCGAGTTATGAGAATTGATTATACATTGAGTTCAGTTTGTGTAAGAGCAAACCTCTGGGGTCTGTTTAATCCATTTTGTCATAGAGGATGTCTGGGACTCTTTTAAAAATAAAACTGAATAATACCTCAATTATTCAGTTTTATTTAATATTTTTTTAATAATTGACCGAGTAGCTCGGTGGCGTAGTGGATAAGCGCCGCGGCCCGCGATCGTAGTCGTTAAGCAAGTTTCGCAAGGGTCGGTCACGGGATGGGTGACCAAAAAATTATTATCTTGAGCTACTCCGTGCTTCGGAAGGCACGTTAAGCCGTTGGTCCCGGCAGCATTTGCAGTCGTTAATACCCTCCAATCCGCATTGGGAGAGCGTGGAGGGTCATGACCCATCCTACTTAACCATCCATAAAGAAGGCCTGAGCCCCTGTAGTGGGACGTAAAAGGGCTGGTGATGAATACCTCAATGGCAAATACCAATACGAGTAATGCTCAAACTTAAACACTTTAAAATAGTTCAAGAAATTGAGTCTTAAGTCGAGACTTAATTTTGTATTCAAACAGAAAATTTTGTAAATTAGCTACATTTTTGTAGTATTGTTTAAGGGATTTTTCAATCAAATTTAAACTGATTTATGAAAAAATGTTTTTATTTTTATTTGATTGCACACCTCAGGAGTCAATAATAAGGTAAAACGTTTACAAAATTTATTTAGACTTCGATTTGGTTATTTCATATTCAAAAAAATCTCTCATTGATTTATTCCTATTCTAAAATGTGTTACAATTTTTTTTCTTACATCACAAGAGACAGAAATTTATGTATACAAAAAACTTAACTGAGGCGAAATCTTGTTATATAATTAAATGATGTCGCTCGCCACTGCCGTTGATGTATTAAAAAAGAAAGTGGTCAATTTTATCACTCGTCTACAGATATTTTAATGATCTGACAAAACAGTTTTTTTTTATTGTATAATAAAATCGAACTACCACATTCAATGTTATAAAAACATATTATTCTGTATACTTTTCTGCAGTCGCATAGAGAGACAAACCAATGTCAAAGGTGCATAACTAATTTGGGTGTTGTTATAACCCCATTTTGGAATGTTAAAACAGCTAATAAACAAACTAACATGACTATTATTGTCGCTATACGCGCCTCATACTTAAATTGCATTAATATTAAAGTTTCGCAACTTGAACGGCATCTCTACCAAACTCTGGCGCAGGTCCGTTTAAAAATGGCGTCTCATATCCGTTATTATATATGTAATAATGCAGCGCAATAGTTTAAAAGTGAATATAGCATCTCTACCATTAAAGATTTCAAAATAATTAGTTAAACTGTGTAAATCCGTAAAATTAATTACTAATTTGTAATATGATAATGTTAGGTTACAGGACTCTGAAAAAGATCAATACTAATATAGTGTTGTTTATACAAATAGTATGGAACAGGATAAATAGTATAATACTGTAACAATAAAGTCGTAATTTAATAAAAAAATAGGCACCTAAACGTAATTTAATAGAAAAATAGGCATTTTAATAAAAAAAAGTATTTTAATGTCATTAAAAATTTGCTTATTAATTTCATATTTACTAGGGTTCTAAACATGTCGATTGGGTCCAGTGGACGTTCTTCTTCCGTGCCTAAGGACCATAAAGACGATAATGCAGAACAGGAGCAACAGCCGACGGTCGAATCGAAAGGTAATTATATTGTTCATACGTAGTTTAGTCGAAATTTACACCATAAATGTAATTCCAATTTTTTTTTTGTAAATATATAAACAGTAACGTATTTGAAAGTTAAAGTGCCCAAATTTAGTACAAGGATATCTTTACATGTTTAAACATGGTCTAAGAGGCGCTCATGTATTAATACAAAAAAAGCGAAAAATTCGAACTACAACAGGGAATGTTACGCAGAGTATGACGTAGATGTTTTTTTTTAAATAAGACATTCCTTATACATGTGAAATTTCAACCTCAAGGGTGACTTAAAAAATCATTAAAACGCATTCTCATACCAGTATTATATTCTTAAAAATACATATAAAATTCATCATCACAGAAAATGAACAGCTGGCGACGTCCAATCTCGACAAATCCAGTCTAAAAGCCGTGTCGAACTTCGATCTATCGTATTCGGACTACAAGCCGAAACAAGTGAACGGCTCCCAAGAAGACTTCCTACATTCGGAGCGGAGTGATGCTGATAAAAACGGGTCTACAGACACCCTAGTGCCCCAAACACCTATCCACCAGAAATCACCTAGAGACGAGTTCAAAGCGAACATCAACAGAATAGACTCCCACCATAATAATTTAGAGGCTCTAGGTAGATCGCAAAACGAATTACATAAGTAACACTCGGATGCAATAGTTTTAAAAGAAATTCCGTTATGTAATCGTTACAGATAATCTGTCACAGTCTAATAGAAAATTGGTGAAAACATCGTTCAATATTTTTGCGGATATAAAAAACTAAACAAGAAATGTTTATTGGAATGACCGTCCAGAGCGATTCAAATGTAATCAATCGACATCAAGTAAATTGTAATCTTGGCTTGCATTGCGAAAACTAGAGAATAATTATTGATTTGTCTATATTAAATGCGTTAAAAGCACCCAGTAGAGTATTAGTATTCATCTTTGCAACAATCAATTCCTCAGCTTTAATTTGTTATGTAAGCGAAACCTTTTTATTGAAGAAAAAAAAAAAAACTTTTGTCTATAACCTATGCATAGACTAGAAACGTCTTTGTTAAAATGCAATGGCAAAAAAATATGTTACGAAAGGAACTCGAATGAGCTTTTTGAATATCTGTGCGTACGAATGTATCTATATTTATTTTGTTTAAGTATTTGACCTTCTTAGTATTGATGGTTGTAATAATTTGTGATGCCTATTAATGTAATATTGTACCTTTATAATTTACTTAAACTATCAATGCCGACCTCATTTTACTTAACTCATTTTAAGAATGTTCAATAATATTGGCAAAGGAAAGAGAAACAAGACGAAATGTGTTACAATGAGTACCGAGGCACCTATATGTGAAACACGATGAACTACTTGAGACACTGCAAATTCGTACAACCACATTTTAGTCTGTGATTGTTGATAACATTTATTTAATTAAGTTCACCGATTATTTGAATAGCTATACTGTGTTCTACATCAACAAATATGACACTTGTCACAATTTTTTACAGCACAAATTGCAATAACTCCTTTGTATAATAACTGGGTTGTGGTCTGTCTTTTAAAATTAATCTTGATATTGATTGGATTTTCAACACCATTGCGCTATTTTATAGATTAGAAAGTAGTCATCGTATTTTTTGTATACCTACACATAATTATATGAAACCCCTTGAAAAAAAATTTTTTTTTTCTTACTAACAAATTGTTTTTGTTTAAGAAAAATATTTTTATGTGATATTACATATGTATATGTATATCTAAAATCAAATATGTACTTTAACATATTTATTATATGTACTGAATCGCTGTATTTGTAGATATTGTAATCAGGGTTTGCTAATAAATATCACGTTGATATATATAATATATATTGTTAGTTCGAGTATTGAGTCTTTTGCCCGAAGTCTTCCTGAAACAATCTTGCTTACTAGAAATTTCGGGTTTTCCCCGTAATATGAAGGCGAAGAACGATCGGTTAGCTTTTTTTTTAATTCAATGCTTATGTTCATATCTAACTCAATCTTTGTTTTTATTTTACACTTTTGATTTAAAAGGTCAAATATTAAATAAATCCATTAGCAGCTTAAAAATCGCAGCTTTTCTATGGATGATATATATCCGATGTATATCGGAAAAATATTTTGGTAGGTATTTATTATAAATATCGATTTTTTTATGAACCCTGATTGCAATAATAAAGAATGGTGCTAAAATCATAAAAAATAAATAACGCAATTAAATATTGTTATCTGCGTTACTTTCAGAAATTACCTGAACCCGGAAATTAGGGTAGTCTATAGTTTGTAGTCTAGAATAGCGGTTTTCAAAGTGTACTTTGTGGAACTCCTATCATATGTTGGGATTCTACGAAAATATTAGTCATATATCAGCAAATAATCAGAGTATATAATTAATTCAATTCCGTGTTATACTTCGGTTTCCAAAAGGGTTCCATAGATAAGATAGTTTGAGAACCGCTGGTGTAGGATAAGATTGTCTATAAAAACTTCCATGTTTTTCACATGAAACTTTATTATATATAGTACTTACTTTTATAGTTATATATTCGGACTAATTAAAATGCAGCTTTTCGAATATGACAACACACAGTACATACATGTATGTATATTTTATAATTCATTATTCTCTGATTGAGAATCTTATTATTACTTATGTGCCTTATGATTTTTTTTTTTGTGTTTATGTCAACGTTATTAACTCGTATGCCAGTTCGATATTATGTAGCGTAGCTATATAAATATATCTTTATGAAGAATCTCTCTACAAAATCCCAATTCCATTAAACAAAAATAGTCGACTATTATTTTTATAAAAAAATAAGTTCAACAACTAAAACACTCTAAAATGTGCTAATTAGTTAGCCCTTTCCTGTGTAGGGATACGGAATGATTGAATAATATATATTTTTAGTTTCTTTATGCCTTCTAGAGGGCGCTGTTGCCAATTGAATGTCACATAGCACGCAGACAACTAAGACGCTTCCAATGATACCTCATTTGTCCAGTAGTTTCGAAATTATAAGGGAACAGATGAACATTCTTACATACATACATACCGGCCAAAATCATTAGCAACCCTCTTCGCTTCGCCGTATATAAAAAGTATGGTGCATGCCACGAAAAATGTGATCTGGCAATCACTCATTTAATTTATATAATTATTTATAAATACGATATTGCAAATAAATCTGCAAAAGTAAAACTCGAAACGTAAACCTTATATCATAATTTGTCTGTCTGTTAAAAAAATCTGTTCCATTTTATAAAAAAAACTAAAATTAACTGTTTCTAAAAATTATAGCTATTTACACAACAGCTACTCGAATATCGTGCTATTATTGTATTTGTTGCTTTGTTTTGTCGCACTTTATTTTCCAAACGGTGCCATACAATTTGTAGTACAAATTCTTTGTTTCGTTGAATTTTGTTACTTATTAGTATTTAAGTTTTGTTTGTATATGTAATATAAGTTTTCATCATAATATTAGCAACACTACGAATACGTATTGCAGGCAATTTTGTAATAATTTTACAGCATTGTCTTTCTATGAATAAATGTTTAATAATATTAAATGTTGGTTTTTCTTTATGAAGCCCATTATCACAATAACCATGGGATACTAAAAATAGATTTAACAAAATGAAAATCACGTCATATTATTCTTAAAAACTACAAAGGAGGTTTACAAATTCATTTGAAATCGAACGATGACTTGATAGCCATGTTTTTAACCACCCGATTTGAAATAAAATGTAATTAATTTGTCCATTTCTTTTTTTAACTTGATAAAAAAAGAACTTGGAAATAGATTTGTGCAGTTCTTGAACGAATCGTTCAATTGAAGTAGTTCACTTAGCAAGTTAATCACATTCAGTAGTTCCTGTCATATAGCAATCAATTAGTTCTCTAGTTCTTTTATCAATGAGGAAATGTTTAAAAAAGTAGTAACATAAAACAAAATATCGTCTTGACATTGCTAATGTGTCGTATCCTAATCAAGACCAGAGAGTTAAGCGGTAGGTCTGCAGGGCCTCTCATAGGTGAGACAAACCTGAGTACGCTTCAATGAACTACAGATCTGAGTGAACTAATTGAACCAGATGAAGGAAGTACTTCATCTAGACCAAATGAACAACTATAAGTATAGATCTTTTCACTTAGCTGAGCAGTTTTGCGCATGTCTAGTTTGAAAGGAAGAGTGAACCGTCGACTGTGTTCTTTTTTTCATTTCAACCTAATTCAGTGTCATACCTTAAATTTTTATTGCAATATTAACGTGAGCAAGTATAACTTTCGACGTTGATACCCGAATAATTAGACTAAATTTGTGACCGAACAATGCTTAGTTCAAACAATGCGTCACAGACTACTGTGCTGTGCTCTCGGAACAAATTATATCCATTAAGCTTTGGAAACGGTCTCTAGCAACCTGGCTATAATGGCGACGCGTTTGTAACGGGTTACGTACGAGCGATAAGCGTATTTGGAATTTTGGATATTTTAACTTTTCTTCAGAACTGATTGCTCTAGTTTACATAGGTACTTGTTTCCACCAATGGGGTGAAGACGCCTTCAAATGCGGAAAATGCGAATAACTTGTTTTTATTGTGAAAGTTATCATTATTTATTAGGTTCCGACCTAATCAATATTGATAACATTTACAATAAAAAAAGATGTAATATATTAAGCTACATCTAAAGTCGATTCATGTAAAGTAGAATGATTGTTTATTATAATATTTCTTTTTTTGGTTCTTTTATTTACACAAAAGAATCAGCGACAGAGACTCCACAATAATTTAATAACAATAGATAACCCATTAATTTACAATTTCTGCCCTCTAACCATAGCGATAGCTTTCTCCCTGTGGTCTATACTCTAACCATAGCAATATTTCTAGGCCGAAGATGTCGAGCAATACCTTTATGATACTTGATGTGAAGTTTTTAGAAGTTTATATTGACGTTGAGGATTTTACTTGACCCCAATAAAATATTTATCAACTGACATGTCCCGTCAACTGTGGTCTTTCTCGCGTCGACTTACTGAAAGAAGTCACCAAAAATAATAAAAAAAATCCCTTGAGTCAATATGGAATATAAAGACTGGTTTGGGTTCGATTTGGACTTGGACTTAGTGATTACGCCAATGTCTCCTCACTTACGACTGTCTAGAGTTCAACGTAAATAATAATATCGCAACGGCAGACGATTGCTCGAAAGTGTTTTATGAAGTATCCACGCGTAACTATAATCAGACCAAACAGATCTTAATACCGATCGTTTCCTTGAGGCTGATGGATGGACGGATTGTTATGTAAATATCTACTTTAGAAGGAAAGTTGAATTCTTCGTTAGATTATTCGGCGAGGCTTAAAACCTCCTTGCTCTTTTTAGGTCAACCAAAAACAATTTAATGTTACTAAGTAGGTTACTAGTAGGGAATAGAGGCAACTGGGAAGAGTTTGTTTGCTTGTAGTTGAAATTGAAACGTGTATGAGCCAATCAATTTTGATTATTCCAGATTATTCCCAACCCTTTATTCTTTGTTACCAACAAAAAAATCTTACCGACTAGCGTCGGTGATATTGCTAAATAAACTACTTCCAGTGAAAACGACTACTGCCTTATCGGACAC